TAACCGAAGTTTGCACATTCCTAAGTGCAGTGTTAGAGATGTGGCAATGTTATTCTATCAACCAATCATTATGTTGTAGAACTGTGTCCACCTTGCAAGGTGGACACGATTCTATGTTCATAATTACTGAACTATATATTTATAATTATTGAACTCTATATTCACAATTTTTAAACTATATGATCATAATTGTAAAGCTATATATTCATAAATTTTGAACTTCATATTCACAATTATTAAATCTCTATATTCATAATTACAGAACTATATGTTCATAATTATATTCACAACTCTATGTTCATAATTATAGAAATATATGTTCATAATTTTTGAATTATATATTCATAATTATAAACTGTTTTGGAACCGTGTCCACCTTAAAAGGTAAAGTAAACACGATTCCACTACATAATTTGCCACTATCTACTTAGTTTTTTTTTTTTTTTTAAATAGCATTATTCATTGTCCTATTACACGCATCAATTTTTTGATTAACATTATTTTATTATCCAATACCTTACAATTTAATCATATATCAAATTGTTTGAGATTTGATGCAAGTAACAAATATAATAATTTCAATTTGTGACAACTTGCATCGTACAATAATTCAAACCCCAATAAGAGTATTGCCTCTTAAATTAATAGGTTAAAAAAGTATATATATGAATAAGTATTATATTGTAACAGAATCAATTACTTATGTAAGTGTATGAGCCGTTATATAAGTAAACAACAATTAAAGAAGAGATTTCCGAATTGCAACGGTATGAGCCGTTTCCGATAATAAGACATGCAAGATTCGTGGTTATGTCATCCGCCATGCATGAGACCCAATACGCAATCGTTGCACGCGCTCTACTTTACGTCAAAAACATCTCCATTTTTCTCTAAATACCTATAAATTAGCAAACATTATATGCCCTAATCATTCAACAATATTAATCAATCAAGAGGCCCCCGTGTCTGCCTGAGTTAGCAAGGCTTAAACATTCTCTTTCCCTGATGTCAGTCTGGATTAGCGAGACTTAACCATTCTATTTCCATGATGCCAAGCCAAAAAGCGGGACAGTTGAGTCACACATTATGCATGACCACCTTCGTCATAGCGACAATGATGGTTGTGGCCATTGCAACACAATATCAATCACCAGAGATACAACCACAAGTCTTATTACCATCTTCGCGGAGAACCAAAACCTTCTACCAGCACAGAGAACAATGGAAAGATAGAGATGAGTCGAGAGATGGGGAGTTACCTGCCAGGAAAATGTTTGAAGACTACGGGACGTGGGATCCTGCGCCATACTTTGGTGGCGGCAGCTATCCAGCTCCAATTCCTCATAGGCATGTGAAGGTAAAATGATGTAGAGCCAGGGGGGAACAAGTTAAGAGGATTCAAGAGCAAACTGAAGTGGAGAAGATATATTAGATATATTGCTGCAGAATAGTATTTTCAATAATGGAAATGTTCTCCTATTTCCCCCAGTATCATTTTTACCTGATTTGAATACTCAAACACTTTTCGAGTGTTGGGTTATGCAATCCAGATAACCAAAGTTCTATGCTATGAATGTAAAAGTAAAGGGCAATAACATACTGCTAGAGAACTAGAACCATGTAATAAATATTTGTCACAAATCCAAAAAGATGTATTCATCACCCTTTCATCAAAGTGCAGATTGACCAAGCAGGAAAGAGCAAGCTCATGTACAATATTATAGAACCCATGCATGATTTAAATATTTAAGATAAAATAAAATAAAACAAAACAAATGTTCTTCATATCATTATCCAGTCCAACCAAAATTGCCCTCTTTATCTGCAAAAGAGTGATTATGTATAGCAACTGCTGTGGTACAAAGTAGAGTAGCAGGGGAACTTCAATCCACACGCCCATCAAGGTATTGCCCAAAGCCTTGTTTGTTACCTGTTTGATGGTGAATAAAAAATGACAAAACGACACTGATCAGTTAACTCTAATTATGTCAGAAGGAACTTTATTTCAAATTGAAAAAAGCAAGCCAAAAATAGACATTGAGCTATATCTCAGGCTAAAAGTACAGAGCTTTTCAGAAATTCCAAAGCTCACATCCAGTATCCAATTGTTTGCTCAACCAGATAGTGCAGGCAAACAGTAAATTTGAGGATCTGTTTAAACATTCCACTTGACAGTTTTTTGTACTATCCTATACATCGAGATAGAGACATGGTACTTTGTATATTCCGAAACCTGCAACACACTTGCATTTATTGGCTTATACTGCTTCTACTCTTCTAATGGAAGAGACAGACTCATGCAGATTTCTCTAACCAATCTCCATAGAAGAGAAATTGCAAAAGTGACCAGTCTCCAAAACTAAAACATTATAGTCATTTACTTACACCCATGATCCAGTTGGGTAAACTGAGCCTAAACAAAACCTCAACAGTTCAATATACAAGGCCAAGTAAGAAGTAGCGGGGCATCACTAAGAAATCCACTCAGAAACAGTATAATGCCTAATTTAAAATGATACCTTGCATGAAAAGAATAATTGTGGTGCATGCTCACATAAGACGTCTACAAGATGGACCAGTGAAAGCAGCAACTTTCTGAGCATGATGGGCTTCAGACTTGTATAGCTCCTTCATTTCCTTTTTGGCACGGCGGGCTTCACGCTTTTCTTCCTTGACAGCAGCCTGTAAAAGTAGGGGTCATTTCTAGTTTGATTTTCCAACTTCAAATCAGAGATTTTGTTCATTTATTTGGGGGGATGAATCTATTGTAAGGATATATTTGCTCTTAAGTTCCCAACAATTATATTATTCTTTATCACTTCATTTTATGTATATCTCGTCTTCCCCATGATAATCAGTACTCAGCATACATTCTCTTTAATTATTTTATTCGAGTTACTTCAGAGAAGTGAAAAGAACCAAGTAAGCCACAGATTAAAATCACAACTGTTGAAAAACTAGATAAAGCATTTTCAGGCAAAAATCAGGCACGGGCAAAAGATTTTATAAAATAGTATATTTAAACATTTGTGTTGAAACAAATTGCAATAAGCAGATACCTTTCTTTCTTTCTTTTCCTCCTTTGACTCTTGACCATGTTGCTTCCTTTTCAATTGCTCAGCTTTAGACTTGGCACTTTCCTCCTCATCTGCAACATTCTTTTTCCTTTCTTTCTTTCCTGAAGAATCCTTTCCCCTGTTAGGCAAGAAGTCCACAGGAAGCTTCTCCTTTCCTTTTAGGGATATTATGGGTGCAGAGGAATTTGAGGCTTCAGGAATAGTAGCCAACTTTTTCTTTCTCCGCGCACCTGGAACTTCAATTTTTCCAGGGTGATTATCAAGATTGGAATATGTGGAAACTATAGTTTCACAATCCCATATTTCAGACTCACTACTGCTTTCATCAAAAAGATCTGCCTCTTCATCTGGACTCTCATTTTCATACTTCTCTGCATATTCCCTGCACCGGTTAATAACATCAGGAGCAGATTCCATTGGCTCCTCATTATCTACCATCCCCTTGTTATAAAACAGATCTGAGGGGATCATTTGATTCCCATTAACTTCTGACCCATCCACTGAATAGAGCTTAAAGGTGCTACTCAGCTTCTCAGCAAGAGATGGCTGGCAATCATTTTCTTCATACGTATAATCATTAAAATCATCTTCACTTTCTGAACCATATTCCTTAAGTTCAAGCTGAAATCAAACAAAAAAAAGAGGAGAAAATGAATAAGTGATACTTTCAAGATCAATATTAATATTCAAGTGTGATAAGTAATAAAACAATGCATTGCAGTAATCATCTTATCCATATGGTTATAAAGAAGATCCTAACCATATCAAACTGCTCATCTATTGCTCGGCGAACTCTTGCCTTTTCTTCAAAGCAGCCATCCCCCTCTCTGATATTTCCCTTCCCACACAAATCATTGGTAGCTATCATTTTCACCTCAGTAGTCTTGACCAACTTCACCTTCTCTTCAACTTGTTCATCAAACGACTCTTCGGGAAGATTGGCCTTAATAACAAAATCTTCATCTAAATCCTCCTCATCAGATCCAAAGTGCGATAAATCACTGTCATCTAGCATTGCAGCAACCTCAGGATCCACTGCCTTCTGAATTCTAACACCCACAGTCTTTGCAGCCACATTATATATCAAATTCTCATTGGAATCATTATTATCATCCACCACTTTTGAAACATCCACTCTTGAAGCATCATATGCCTAGTTAGAATCATAAAACAAGAACTCAAGTTCAGCAAAACTCCTCCACATAATTAATAAGAAAAAATTCAGAACAACACCATACTTGGTAATTTCACAGATAAATTTACTGCAATTTTGTATAGTAACACAATAACGAACCTTGACATCATGTGGAATCTGTTTGAGCTCAGCTTTTGGATTATCATAATAAGCGGAACCACCGCCAGTGTTTTTAATCTCTCTCAAGTGCATCAAATAGTTGTACCCATCATCCGGAAAACCTAATTCCAGTATCTCCTTCCTTATATGATCAGGCAACGGCTTCTTTTGAGCTCGGTTATCGGGAAGCTCGAAGCCGAAGTCGTTCCCTTCGGAATCGCAGTCGTCGGCCGCGTCATCAAAAATCCCACCATGGTTGTTATCCAACGCGCCGTCGTTCGGCTCGTCTCCTTCCTCGAAACCGTCAACGGAGTATGGATTATTGTCGACTCTGCAAAAAATCCTGTCGCCGGAGGGCCCGGGATTGTAATTCGGGTCCGAAGAGTCTCTGGCGAGTATATGGAACGTTGCCGACTTCTTCTTGTCGATGAATTTCTTCTTCCTCCCCATTTTAGGACCGCACAGCTAATTAATCAAAATTTATGAAAAGATTTGAGTGTGATGATCAGCACAGGGATAAAGTCCAGCTCGGCAATAAGAGCGAAGAAGAGACGAAAGAGGTTACTTGAGATAGGGTATAAAGCTAAAACCCTAACCCTAAAATCAAAAATCCAATAAATGTAAAAAAATTCCACTGCCGGGAATCGAACCCGGGTCTTTCAGGTGAGAGCCAAATGTCCTAACCGACTACACTACAACGAACTTGTGTAATTGAAATAAACAAAATATATTATACTAAATTGAAAATTCTAATAAATGTAAAAATTCCGTTGCCGGGAATCGAACCCGGGTCTTTCGGGTGAGAGCCGAATATCCTAACCAACTAGACTACAACGGAGTTGCTGTATTAAGATAAAAGAAATTTATAAATAATAAGTTCATTTTACGTCATTCAATTGATTACATATAATTGTTTTAGGCTTTTAGCCCAAAACTATCGTGAATGTGCAAATATATCACTCTTATAATATCTTATAAACGTTACAATTTGAATCTTCAAAGAAAGCATATGCATTCCGCGCTAAAATAACATGAAAATTTTATAAATAAAAGTTAATCTATATGGTGTTCTCACTACTCACTAGTGTGAAATTATGTACATAATTTTACTCTATTTTTTATGACGATGAAAACTTCCATCCTCCTACCATGTGCAATGTTGATAAAAAACATTGATAATAATCAAATTCATAATTTTATAGTATAAGAATTATGATCTATTTACTCGCTTGGAACATAATTTTAATTTTTCATTTGTAGATCAAGCCCAACCATTTATTTATTCACTCAACATTTTCATATCCAACAATGAATGGAAGAAGGAGAGAAAATGAGAAAAAGAAAAATTAAATAAAAAAATCGATAAATAAATAAAATAAGAAAAAAAAATTGGGTAATCGTCAATTGGGGCTTGCATACACGTGCACCCGCCAGCTCTAATCGTTCTGAAATTTATATTTCATAAAATTTCGTTATCATTTTCTTTCAAATATTTTATAACGAACCAAACAACTCTTGTAAGTGTTACTTCCATTAATGTACTATGTATTGCAGGATGTGACTTGTGTGATTATGTGTCCCCAGATCCAACTTCATTTTCTGGGACCAATCTCATCACTCCAAGCTTGGCTGCATTCTTTCTTTCACCCAAAGACACATTTGTATTTACAGATTACAGGCAGAATAAAAAGGGACACGAAAAAAGATCAAAGAAACCCACTTTTGCTAGAGCACAACTAGTGGGAAAAAAGTCTCAAACTAAATCAAATCCCCCCAAAGTTATAATTTTTTTCCCCCAAAAAAAATTGGTTTTTCTAGTATGAAGTTCTTAATCTCTTGAAGGTAGTTGGAGGACGGTTGATCTGTGGTTGTGGAACTGCAAAAGAATTATTATTATTATTATCATTTCTCCACTCTCTGCTGGCTTTGGTGCTTGCAACTTCATTGATGGAGTCCTCAAAGCCAATTTGATCACCAAAGGCAATAGTTGCAGCAGAGAAATCTGGGTTCTGGTTAGCTTGCAGATGAAGTGTTTGAGGAAATGCATCACTGAGACCAATCTACAATCACCAAGTACACAAAATCATGTCAAACAACCCGGATTGTAGCACAATTACAACAAAATGAAGGAAGGCAGGAGAAATATGTATTGCAAACCTTACATAAACCATGAGAGGAATCAAGAAGTTCTTCAACATGGTACCATGGCAGCATCTCCAAGTACTCTAATATGCTACTGGTAGTGGAACCATTCCCCCCTCCATTCATCAATTGCCCATTTCCAGTTCCCTTTATAGCAGCTGTTACTTCTTGCACAGTGCTGGAAATTGGTGGTTTATTTGTAGGCTTAGAAAGTGGGTTGTGAATGGCTGGAGAAACAACAGCAGGGGGAGGAATAACTGCAGGCTGGATTCTTGAGTTCTGAGACTTCAAATTTGAAGGGGAATTTGCTGATAATGCTACTGTGGATGATGATGATGATGATGATGATGATGGAGAAGATGAAGATGAAGATGAAGATGAAGAAGAATAGACAGCAGAGGTTGTAGAGAGCTTGACACCAGTTAGAAGAAACCTATTGTGTTTCTGGGTATGTTCATTTGCTTTGTGTATAGGCACATCACACTCTCTGCACAGAATTGCCCTGTCTTGCTGACAGAAGAAGAAACCATTTCTCTCCTGCAAACATGAAGCCGTGAGTAATTGTTAGGATTAAACGCTTACCACTAAGCCAAAAGTTATAGTTCATAACGAAGACTTAAGTTGCCACATTTTAATAGATTGGGACTAAATTTAACCCTTCAAACCTCGATCCAACAATTCATAGCCATTTAACTTGGCCCTTTGCCAGTTTGCCAACAATAACAACAAGAAATTTAAAATTCGTGCCAATGACCTTGTAGTCTTTCGGTATGAATAGGAGGTCATGGGTTTGAGCCCCAGTGGGGCGTGCACTATTTTTCAGTAGATTGAGAAAATAACTATAAACAAATACTACATTGTAACAAAGTCAATAATACTAAAAAGAAATTGGGATTTTCTAGGAAAATCTTGAGCTTTTTTCACCTGGCATATATCACAGAGAGGGCCTTGTTTTGCAGGAGGTTGAAGGAGGGAGAACCTTTGGTGCTTGCTAGCAAGCTTGTTGGCATGGTGGACTCTGTGATCACAGGCCGAACAAAGAGCGGCCTCGTCCGCCACGCAGTAGAAAGATGCTTCGTGGTTATGGCAGGCGTCACACTGGATCTTCATTTCAAGAAACACACGGTACTGAACAAAGAGAGCGTCCAGAAATTCTTGAGTAGAGAGTTGAGAGAAAGGAGAAATGAGATGCTATGAGGCGATCGAGTCATTTATTTATGTGGTTTTTGGGGGTGAAAAATGATTAGAAGCCTACTCAAAGATTATGAGGCTACATTAGTTGTATCTCTAATAACATGTTTGGATTTACTCTCAATAACCCTACATTGTCTCTATTCCTATTGGCTAGTTGGAATAAGTAATTTAATTCAAGGCAGATCCTTGTGAGCACATGCATTTCGTACTGTTGAGCCATTAAATCACAATGATTTATCCTCTCAAATGTTTGGTCAGGCTAGGGAGTTGGAACGCTTAGAGTTGGAGATTCAACTTTTTGATAGGAGGAATAAGTAATTTAATTGTCATTTTTTTATTAAAACTATGCTTATATGTTTGTATCGTGCCTCACTACATATATTATTATTATTTAAATTATACCAGATACTTTAAATATTTACGGAGTATTTATTTAGTGTCTATTACAAACTATCATGTTATACATGATTGTATTCCTTACAAAAAAAAAAAAAAAGTAAAAAAGTAAAAAAGTATCAATATTTATCGACACCCTAAAAATTGTATTAAATCAAAAATTCATTTATAAGTATTTGTTACTCTTTTATACTCAATAATAACACAATTATTAAAAAATTAAAAATCATTTTGTGTTAAATCAAACAAAACAATACATCAATCATGCAAAAGTCCAATAATAATACTTTTATTTAATAAATAAGTAGACCTCAAAATCGCTTAAACCACCTTTTTGATCGTTACTTTGATAGATGTATCCTAGCATTTCAATGTGTTAAGAAAATCATTTAGAATTCACAAATGAAATAATCAACTGATCAATTAGAAAATTTATTTTATGAAAAATATAATTTTAATGTGAAATAATAATAATAATAATAATAATAATAATAATAATGATAATAATAATAATAATAATTTTAAAAAATGGCATGGAGGTTTTCAATTCCTTAGCTTCTTGAGCTGGCTGTGAAGTGTGGGCGTGGCAGTGCATGGGCAGCTAGCCAATGGTTTTTGGTTTCTTGTCCATAATGCCCTTTAGTCTACAATTGTTTTTCTGCGAAGTCCTAGTACAAATTGGGGTTTTTATATTTTTGTTTTTTTGTCAATATTACGTCATGCATGACATTTTCATAGTGCATATATTATTGTTTATTGTCACTAGGATTCCTTATATTCAGATCTTGCAATTATATTATTGTTTATTGTTTATTTCTATGATCTCTTCACTTTTAGATCTTGCAATTAATTATGTGTCGCGCGTAGAAGTGTCGAGATACAATTTTTCTGTTTTTAGCTTTTGATTATTAATATAGCAATGTTTTATTTTATTTAAAGTTGATCGAATACAATTTAAAATATTGTAATGCGTTTAGATCTTTAATGGTGAAATGTTTATAAAATTGTAATATTCCTGATATATTAATATAGTAATTATATATGCTCATATCAATAGAGTAAAGTTATATAATTGTTCATGGTAAACACGAAAATTCGAATTGTATATATTAAATTCGAAATATTAGTTACAATAAAGTATATGTTAAACGAGAAGGGGTATAATCTCTAGATATGAGAAGTATTTTGACTCTCTACTAGAAGTATGTCGAATCGTCCTAGTTCCTTAAACATATAGCAGCGCGGGCATCTTCTAGGGCGAGATCCCGACAAAGTTTCAATATGCAGACTTTAGCGGCCCCCTTTCCTCCAAAATGAACCCACTATTTATAATGGTGAGGGTAGGAAAACTCTAACAAACCTGATTCTTTTGAATAATTATCAAGTTTAATTTAATTATTTGAATAAAATAGGAAAAATGTATCGGGACACCAACACGTCCAGGTTCATCATTTCATTTTATCTTCAAACCAATTTATGTTTCTACAATTTCCAAAATTATGGGATCGTTATGATGTGGAACCGTGTCATAATTATGTTTTTGAACTTCATATTCATAATTATTGAATTCTATCTTCACAATTACAGAATTCTATGTTCATAATTACTAAACTATATGTTCATAATTTTAAAGCTATTCACAATTATTGAACTCTATATTCACAATTACAGAACTCTATGTTCATAATTATAAAACTATATATTTATAATTATAAAATTTTATATTCATAATTTTTAAATTCTGTATTTATAATTATGACAATTTTGAAACCGTGTCTACCTTGCAAGGTGGACACGGCTCCACAACATAATTTGCCACTTCAATGTATTGTTGTTGTAACAAAGGGCTTCAGCTTTTGAAACGAGTTTATCTACAAAATAAACGAAGTGTTGTGGGCAAAATGGTTTAGAAAGGCCAATGGCCCAATAACAAGTCAATCGTCAACTTTTTCCTTTTCAATGCAATTATACATGACTAGAGTTAACAAAATGGATTAGACTTCCAACCTAGCCTGCAATAAAGATGGGGCGAAGTCTGATTTTAAAGTCCAACGAAAATGGTAGACTTTAAAACCCGTATGGTTTAAGGCTCTGTTTAGCAGAGCTTATTTAGGAGCTTATAACTTATTTTAAGCTGTTAATAAGCTATAAGCTTTGTTTGGTAATGTTCCAAAAATAAGCTTATAGCTTAAATAAGAGCTTATTTTAGAACGCTACTTTAGGTAGCGTTTCAAAATAAGCTCCTATCTTCCTAACTTTTTTTCCATCTTTATCTTTATTATTTTAAAGAAATGACATAATTTACCCTTCTCAATTAAAACTCTTTTCTCTTCTCCTTTATTCGCAACTTTCACCTCAAATATTATTATTATTATTATTATTATTATTATTATTATTATTATTATTATTATTATTATTATTATTATGAGATTTGCAACAATATTGTTACTCCATTATGAGATACTAGATCATGATTATGCTAATAGTTTTATTTCAAAATGTTAATTTTTTAAAAAAATAAAATGTTAAATTTTAATAGGTAAACAAACTAATTTAAATTTTATGAAGATGTCCTTTTTAGTCTTTTTACATTTATCAGCTTATCAAAAAACTAATTTTACCAAACACTTTCAATCATAACAGCTAACTTAACAGCTCTCCAGTTTTCAGCTCCGAGCTTATAGATTTTCAGCTTTCAGCTCCTTTTCTGCTTTCAGCTCCTTTTCAGCTTTCAGCTCCTAGCTTATAGCTTTTCAGCTAGGTTTGCCAAACAGAGCCTAAGTAAATACATAATATAAATAAATAAATAAATATATATATATATATATATATATATATATATATATATATATATATGGGTGATCACATGTGACTATGTTATTATGTGTGGTCATATGGTCAATTATAGGCCATTAGATTAGATAGATCCAATGAATCATATTAATCAAGATTCTTCCAGTATTTTTGCACACATTCTCCTACCCAGCGAACTGCAAGGGTAAACTCGTTATAATCACCGAAATAGGGAAAATTACATTGTAGTGTGTTTTATTACACTATTGGTGCATGTTGTCAACACTGTTGGTGTATTCTGAAACCCGACCGCTATAAATAGCCACTGTAATTACCATAACACGGGAATACACCAATGATGTGTTTCACTGTGGTGTATTTTATTACACTATTGGTGCATGTTGTCAACACTGTTGGTGTATTCCGGAACCCGCCCGCTATAAATGGCCACTGTAATTACCATAACACCCCCACTTACCAAAACGCGCAAAAATCCTCAAAATTACCATTGCCGCTAAATTAAACTGATTCAACGACACAGATACGACCACACCACCACACCTAATGACATGACCACATATGAGCGCTCTTTTATATATATATATATATATATATATATATATATATATATATATATATATATATATATATATATATATATATATATATATATATATAGAGAGAGAGAGAGAGTGTGTGTGTGTGTGTGTGTGTTTATTATTAATTTGTATAATAATAATGCTACACACACCTCATAAAAGTTTCCTCCTTATTCCTTAATTTAGTTGTGTTAAATTAAAAATGTGGTTGATAGAGAAATATGCTCGAATCGACCCATATCGTGTGCTGAGTCGGGTAGCTAATGAGAATCATTCCTAACCTGTAACCCCTCGGACCAATTATACGCCAAAATGCCAATTGGGGCTTGGAGAAATGGAGAATAATCATATTGTCAGGGCCTCAGGTCGCTCTCAATCCTTCCAGGTTGGGAGATTTAAAACCCGACCTCCAGTACTTGAGAGGTTAAACGATAATTCCATAGGATAGTGAAACGAAGATTGAACGCTAATGTCGGCAATCGTTGGACGCGTAGGAGAATGAGCAAAGCCCCTGGTCTGCCCCTCTGCATGGATCACAGTATCCACACGTGCCTGCCGAGCTTGCAGCATGTGTTCCCTTCAACCCTCCTATAAATATAACATTAAATGCTGTATGGAGGGACTTTTTGACAACATTTATGGGGCGTTTGGTTTATGTTATATAAGATAACCAAGGTTATATTTGCTTGGTAATATAAGATTATCATGTTTGGTTCAAGTTATGTAACTTTCCTAGAGAATGTCAAATAACCTCTGCATTAAGTTTTTAGCTATTTGAAAGGAATGTGAGATACCCTCCAATTTGTTAGGTAATCTCGCATTCTCTTGTCTTATTACAAATGTTGGGCTTTGGACGTTTTAACAATTTATCTTATTACCATTGTCTTATTTACATATCTTAGTTTTAAACCAAACACAGGAATCTAACATTCCCAACAATTTAATACGGAGTATTCCCTAAGGTAATCTAACATTCCGTGAACCAAACGCCCCCAAACACTAACCTTTTGCCCATAAACCTCTAACCTACTGTCATATAACCTGAACTTAAGGAATTAAACAACAAGTAGAACACAACAGGATCACCGTATCGGATATAAATACCTATACCTAGTGGCATTTACCACATCAGTGGGGTCAACTAATTCATGCCATCCAATGATTATAAGTCACAGCATGTA